TAAAAACATAAAAAATGTAATAGAAACATATTAAAAAGTTTAAGGGTTAAAAGTTATAATATAAAATAGTTAAAATTGAAAATATTTTATTTTGAGATTTTAATTGTTTTTTTTCTTTTTGTGTAGGAGAGGATGTATAAACGTAGGTTAAATTTTTTAGGAGGGGGTGCGGTTAGAATAACCCTCTCACATAATACTTGTATATTAGTAAATATATCATTACCTACTAATTACCTCTTCACACATCAAGTATTTATATTTATATTTTAGTTTGTTTTTAAAAAAATGTACATATAGTAGGTCTTGATGTAGATTTATGTGAGAAAAAAATTATTAGGTAGGAATGCATTTAACAAGATAAAAGGGTGCATTTGGTAATATAGAAAGTAGTATCTAAAGACTGTTTGTTATTAATTTAATAAGATTCACAGCTTATTATGTCACATATATATGACTGTTTGATAGTGTCTTAACCTTATTTTTCCATATGGCCAAAATAGGCCAGTTGGGCTAGTCGTCTGCTTTAAAATGTTAAATCTTAATTTCAAAAAGACATCTTAGAACTTTCGTCCAATTTTACTTCAGCTTGGGTCCGGATTTATATAGTCCAACGTGTGAACCTACTTTAAGAAAACTTATTTAAAATATTTTAAAATCAAAATAGGCTATTTAATATCAAAATTTGTTGATCAAAAATAAAAACGGCTATGATATTCTTCTTAATAAAATTTTGAACATTTTGGTTGTTTTAACATATAACATTATTAATATGGTATGAAATTTTATTTATTATTTTATTCATTTAAGATTATCTATAAATTTAGTATGGATATAACAAGGCTTTAAAAAGATTGGAAGATTGTACCATGTACATTAAAATTTCATTTTATGTCATCAATTTCATTGTGAGTCGCTATTTACATCATTAACATATAACACGTTGATTAAGTTAAATGACTTTTATTAAGGTTCTCAAATGCAAGATGATTATTATGCAGTTTTCAAACATTTGGTTTGGAGGTTGTTATTTACACCCCCACTTATTAAAAAGTCAAAAGAAGACATATTAATAACATTAAAAGACCTAAAATTTTGAATTTTTTACTCTTTCTTATGTCTCCTCTCTCTCTCTCTCTCCCTTACTTTTTTGTTTTTTAATTAATAGATAATAATTATTATTGGTCTATATTAATTATAATTTTTATTTGTATTATATATTAATCAAATTTAAAACCAATAAATTGGAAATACAATAGCTTTGTTATCTATAAAAAAATAATATATCATTTATTTATTATTTTACAAATTTTAACGATATGCATATAGTCATATAGTTTGTCCTTAATAAAAATCGAATAAAAACCTTAAAAATTCATATGCAAATTCTTAATTTTCATTTTATCACTAGAAGGGCACTCGCACAATGCAACGAGATAAATTTTAATGTTTAATTTTTATTCTTTGTCATCATCGATATAATACGATTTTATGTGGTTTTGAAAAACGATGTTTTTATTTTTGGTTTAACAATATAATTTTTTATAAAGATAAAATATAAAAATTCTGTTAGAATTCAATGATTATCTTAATTATATTTTACATTTTCTATATTTAAAATGAATGTTTATCTTGTATTTGTTTATGTTTATCTGCAGTTAGTTACACGAATTTAAAAATGTAGCTTTAATAAGTTGTACTTATGCAAAATTACTTGTAATCTTGAATATATATTTTTAGTTAAAATTATCTTTAATTAATCAATATAATAAAAGTATAAAATGAAAAACGCAGGGAAGACAAAAAAATGAAAAAGACAAACCATATGGACTAAAATTGTAATTACTTTATAATCTAATAAAACCAAAAAGAAAACAAGACAAAAATAAGGTAAAAGGACCAAAATACCTTTAAATTAACGAACATTTTCAACTAAAATTAGGTAGAGGGATCAAAATTGAAACAAAATAGCAACCGCAATGACAAAAATTATAATTAGTTTTAAAGAGGGAGCAAACTTGGAAATGAGCGGCAACCAAAAAAAAATGTAATTTATTCAAAAATATACATATCTATTAATAGAGAGAATTACAAATTTCAACCCTTTGGTTTGCTGCAAATTACAATAGTGGATCCTAGACCCTAAAATTCATGGATAGGGTCCTCTAGTTCAAATATGAAGGAGGTTGGTGTGGGGGAAGGGGAAGAAGACGAAGAAGATGGTGTTCAGGGAAGGGGAGAAGTCGACAAGTCGCCAGAGATGGTGTGTGCGCAAGGGGGGAGGGCGACGAGAGTGGACGAGGCCGACGGAGATGGGCGTTTGGGGGAGGCCGATGGTGGGTGGTAAGACTAAGGGATGGTGTGATGGTGGTATATTCATCTTCATTTGCTTTAGGAAACATCTCCTCCTCAACCCAAGTTTTTTGTTTGGATTGGCGATGTCTCCTTTTTATTTTGATTGTCATATCACGTTTTGTATTCTATTTTTATTTTAGTTATTATAATAAAATTTGTTCGGAAAACACCTCTGATTTGACAAAGTCTTTTAACGGAAATTAGCTTAAAAGGAAAAACATAGAGACTTTAACCATGAATTTGAGGGTCCAAGATCAAACCAAATTTGTAACTTAACTCTTGATAATTTTATAAAGCTAAACATTAAAGTTTTATACACATCTAATCTAATAATACATTGCAAAGTTGAATATAAAAGTTTTATACTCTAATAAGCAATATATGATATTAATAGTAAAAAAAGTTTATCCTAATTACAGATGATGGAATTAATTAATTATGTACATAAAAGCGAAAAATAGTAAAAAAATTCATTACTAACCATGCAATCCTACCATGTCATTATTATATATAGACATGATCATGCGAGATATTTTTCCTTTTATAAGAATAAATGATCGTATTATATTGTGTAAAGTTTACATTATGTATTGTAAAAAATACGTTATATATATATATATATAGAGAGAGAGAGAGAGAGAAAGAAAGAGACATATTATGAGGTTATGGGAAAAACTGAAAAATAACTTAACAATCATTAATCTCTACAGTATGTACATGTATACACAAATTAAATAGTTGAAGATTTTTTTGGACTTTCATGCACGTGTGTATGTAATACACATGTGTATACTAGACAAATTACATGTATATACATACGTATACTATATAGACAAATGACTATTAAAATGTTATCAGCTTTTCCATAAACCTGATTTTATATATATATATATATATATATATATTATATGTAAGAAAATAATTAATGAGGAGTCCTTTGTGAAGTAAAAGCGAGGATAGAATGGGAAAGATTATTAATAGCATCAACCAATCCATTAAAACCTTGTCTTTCCATTTCAATCTTTGACTCTTCAATCTTGTACCTCTTTTGATGCATAATGTACAACTCCTTATGCCTTGTTTCTTCTCTCTCTTCATACCCTTTAATGGCTTCCATCAATCCACTTCCTTCTTCACTTGACCTTCTTCTCTTTCCTAAGATCGCAATAATTATACTCATTAACATGTTATTTTACAAAACATTCAATCTCAAAAATCATTTCTTTCTTATAAACAATCATTTCTTTAAATTTGAAAGACATGTTGGAACGAAAAATCAACTCAAAATCTTCATTTTGATTTGGTTTCGATCAATTGTTACATTCTTATTAATGTTTATGAATCCTGTATTAGTGAATGAATTACTCTGTTTGATTCCCTACGTTCCTTTTTCCGGTGTCTACAAAAACAACAAACTACAACACCTAGTTATATATTTTAATATTATTTCTAATTTGGTTCAATAGTTATTACTATACAGAAATAATTAAAATCATGATGATTTTATAAACAAAAAAATTAGTTTAATGAAGTTATTAAACTTTATTGTTTAATATGTGTCGTCATGGACCAAAATAATTTTTTTGAAAATTAGGTTTTCCTCAAAATAAAATAAAAACAAAATAAGATTCATTTTGAAATAATTTCCTCAAAATTGTACTCTTTAAGAAATCATAGCTCAAACATTACATTTTTTTTAATAAAACAAAATATAAATAAATGCAAACTTAATATTTTTAATGATATATTATTATTATTTTTTATTTTTTTCATTAGTCTTTTTAATGACTAGAAGGGTACTCGTGCAATGCAGCGAGATATATCTCGATTTTAATGCTTTGCTTTATTCCGTCTTTGTAAATGTTATAATACGTTTTTTATGTGGTTTTGAAAAAAGAATAATGTTTTTATTTTTGAATAATATATAAATTCGAAGACGTCAAATATATCAATATCAATATCAAATTAACTATATAAAAATTATTGTTTTTTATATAAATTTTTTATTATAATTTAATTTAGATAATAACAAAGTAATTTATTTTTGATTTCATAATACAATTTTTTATAAGAAATATAATAAGTATTCTGTTAAAACTCAATGATTATCCTAATTATATTTTATTTTTTTATATTTAAAATGAAATACTTATCTTGTATCTGACTATATTTATCTCCAATTAGTTACACGAATTCATATATGGAGTTTTAATAAGTTGTACTTACGCACAATTTATAATCTTGAATTTTAAGTAATATGCATCAATAAACAGTACTTCATACATAAAAAATATTTTTAATGGTTTTTGTCAAATATTTTATAATATAGTATAGATATATTAATATAAACTATTTCAAGAAAAAATTATTTTGCTAATTATTTATTTATTGAATAAAACATTTTTCTTCGGATTTGTATATCGTGATTAGCGTAAAGATTAAAATCAAATATATTTATTCACTTCATATATATATATATATATATATATATAGATAGATAGAGAGAGTGTGTGTGTTGGCTTCACGTGAGATCAATCTGTTTTCATGAGACCATTTTTTGCACTTGAAACTTCACAGCAAAACGTTGTGAATGTTAAAAAATATCGAACTTTCACAGCAAATACACCATGAAGGTTACCTTCACATCGTTTTGTTATGAAGTTTCAAGTGTAAAAAAATGGTCTCACAGGTCTCACGAAAGTCTATATATTTAAAAAAACAAGAAAAATGTTGTTAATGTACAAAATCACATATGATTCTCGTACAAAATCATATGATAATTCAAATACATATTCACATACAAAATCATACATGATTTACGACATGGTAACAACTATGTGAAAAAATAGAGGGGCAACTTCGTAATTTTTACGAATAGACGGAAAAAAAGTGCATATGTAAACTCGTGTGAATCACATATGAACCATTTGTGCAGATGTGAACTTATGTGATTCACATATGAACTATTTAACTGATTACATATAAACCGTTGTGATTTACATATGAACAATTTAACTAATTCAAATATGAAACCGTGTGATTCACATATGAACTAATTAGTTAAATAGTTCATATGCAAATCACATAGGTTCACACATGCACATATATAATACATATGTGAATCACACGAGTTCACATATGGACATATAGTTTATATGTGAATCACGCGAGTTCATATATCATGTGTTTGCCGCTTATTTGTAAAAGCGATAAAACTATCCCTTTATCTTCTACATACCATGTAACCGAATTATCCCGTGCTTCACAGTCAAAGCCGTAAAGATTGACCAGATGAAGGGTTAAGATCACTTCTCTATTTCTCATACATTTAGCACTTCACAAATGAACCTCTCTGTATATATGTAGAGATAAGTTCAACGAGAATACTAACTATTTAAGAAAACAAGAAAAATACCATTAGTGTTCAAAATCATACATGATTCATATATATATATATATATATGTATATATTCAGATACAAAATCATAATGTTTCAAAAGTCTTACGTTTCCATTTTTTTTATGTTAATACAAAATTACATGTGATTTTATACATTAACAATATTTTTTTTATTTTCTTAAATAATTAACGTTTTTGTTTGAAGATTCTCTCTTTCTATATATATGTGTTGGTTTTATTATTTACCATAGAATGCCTTATTTTCTAATTCTTTTTATTGCATTTCATACTTTTTAATAGGAAAAAGCCAGTATCTTTTAGCATTTTAATGTTTTTTGATATGTACCATTTTTGATCCATCAAAAAATATTTTAATATTTTTGTTTATAATTATATTAATGACTTTTTAACTCTTTTATGATTTGACTTGGTTTATAAAGATACATATGTTGGCGGCGACATCATTGATCTACATAGGGTAGCATGCATACAATAAGATTAAAGATTGGAACTCACAATATGCTGAAATGACATAAACTATATTTGTGAGAAAAATAAATTTGGATTAGAATTCATGATAAAAAATCGTCGTATAATTTTTTTTATTAACTTGTATATCTAACCCGTTATGTCAATTAATCCCATGACGATCACCTGCTTTGCAGATAACCCGAAATTATCGTATTTGAACCTTCGTAGCCGCAAAAGATTTTTATTCCTCCTTGGATTTGAATCTGGACCTCTTGATACTTTTAACATTTGGAGCCAACCTCAAACCAATCAGACACAACACTTGTGATTCGTCGTATATTTCTTGATAACGTAAAAGTGTGTAAATATATCAAAATTGAGAACAATCCTTTCTATTGTATATTTCTTAGCGTAAATTGTATATAATTTTACTTTACAATGACATGTAATCTTGAATTTTTTTTAATTAACGGTTTTCTTTGATTTTTCCTCCTCTCTTTCTCTCTTTGTATATATAAATTGATTAAAAACCTGAGAACGACAACAGATTACGTGTCCTTTATGATGAATATTCATCAATAAAACATATTCATAGTGAATATGGTGAAAATGTAATTCATCATGAATCACACTCTGACATGAATAGGCTATGTGTTATTAATCATTAAACATCTTCTGAATGATATTTCATGTGTGGTATTATGTGTAATTCACGGGTTCCTAACCAATTTTAAATTTCTATAGCCGTCCCCCTCTCTCTCTCTATATATACATATAATTTGTTTGTTTATTTTTAGTTATTTGATTCGTTAAAAATAAAATAGAACACAAATCTAATTAACTTGTTTTTAGGTAAAACATGCAAGAGGGAAAGGATAAGAAGAGAACCTTCTGTTGGCAACGGCAGCTGAACACCTCCTCCTGCTCCTGCTTCTAATGGTGATGGTGATGGTGATGGTGATGGTGATGGTGGTGGTGGTGGTGGTGGTGGTGGCGGTGGCGGTGGCGGTGGCGGTGGCGGTGGTGGAAGTGGAGGAGGACTGGTGGTAGTACTGGTGCAAGGCCGGAAAACCACGGACGTCGGAAGAACTGAAATTCCCAATTTAGCCTCCACAACATGAGCCAAAGCTTCATAAATTTGTGGCAACAAATTTGATGGCAGATTATGATTCTTCCTCTCCATCTTCTCCATCTTCCAATACGATCCATCGCCACCAACCCCATCGCTATTGTTGTCTTTCACAGACATTCTTCTTCTCTCAAACTCTCTTACTTTCTTGAAATCTCTCATTAGATTATCCCACTTATCGTTGCACTGGTTTTGGCTTCTGAAACAACCTTTTTTCCAGCAGTATTCTTCGATCCATTTCCACCGGAGTTCACCGCCGGCGCCGGTGGGTTTGGTGGTAGTAGATGGGGTACCTCTCACCATTGATCTTCTTTGTTCATCCAACTTCTTGGCCTCGATCAAAACCATTGTTTCTTCCACCGTCCAGTTTCCTTTCCTGTAATCCCTCAGCATAACTGCGTTCCCCTTTTGCACCTCCATCCATGCACTTCTATCTCTGTGTACCTATCTGTATCTATAGATTATGTGTGTGAGAGATGGTATATACATAAAGTGAGTGTGTGGGTGTTATATATAGATATAGAGAGAGAAAGTGTGTGTAAGAGAGTGAGAGTGAGAGTGAGAGTGAGAGTGAGAGAGATATAGATATAATAAGAGTGTGTGTGAGACTACTGACCGAGACTTGACTTAAGGGTTGATATCCCCACTCTTTTTCACCCCTTCCTCCTCACATATTCACCCCTTACATACTCAACCTTTCACGTTCAACCAAAATTTTTTAAAATTATAATTTTAAATTTATATTTTATACTCCTATAATTGATTAATTTATTTTACGTCTTTTATTTTTATATTTTTTATTTTATATATTTATCAAATTAATATATATAATCGTATATCAATTAAAATATATTTAAAAAATACATTTTTATTTTAACAAATTACATCATTATAATCATCTCGTTAATATCTTCGAAATGAGTCCAATATTGAATAGTTTTTGACTTAATTATATTATTATATATACTGTGAAAAAATAGTTTTAATATTTACGATTTATACTTTTATAGTTATTTATTTAATTTATGATACATCATTTATTTTTACACCATTATCACATTAAAATACATAATTTTATATTAACTAAAATTAGATCTACAACTAAATTAACCTATCATGAAGTATTTTCATACCTTTTATTCATCTTGTTCATCTTACATACTCATTTTTTATTATACTTGTTAATTTTTAAATTATATGTCATATTCTGTAGTTAATTAATTTATTTTTATAGTTTTTTTTATACCCTTATCACATTAAGATACATAATTATATATTAGCTAAAATACGTTAAAAAATACGTTCTAATTTTAACAAGTTACATCATTATAATCGTCATGTCAATACCTTAAAATAAGTCTAATATTGAATATATTTTTATTTAATTATATTATTATATCATATATTACCACGAAAAAATATTTTTAACACTTCTACTTTATACTCTTGTAGTTAATTATATAATTTATGGTAAGTCCCTTTGTTTTTCAATTTTCATTTTACACCCTTATCACATTAAATTACATAATTGTATATTAATTTAAAAAATATGTTTTTATTTTGACAAGTTATACCATTATAAATTGTCTCCTCAATACCTTCGAAATTTATTAATATTGAATATTTTTTGATTTAAATTATATTATTATATGATATAT